GTAATAGGCACCTTGCGTGCAATCCCAGAACAAATGGAGCATTGACAAATTCACCACCAGTCAATTGCAAAAGGCACCATCAGTCAACTGGGAACAGCTTCCATCCTGTGACGATATCTGTAACACCATCAAACATCCAAACGTCTGCCTATCCCAGGTTCTTCGTAAGGACTCAATAGGTAGACAAAAATGCCAAATCCAGTCTGAACATTTGGCTGGCTGTGCTAATAATAATAATAATAATAATAATAATAATAATAATAATAATAGAAAAAAAAATAGCTGGGAAAGCAGATAACAATAAAACCTGGCAATGGCTAAGAGCAGGAAAATTGAAGAAAGAGACCGAGGGACTAATTCTGGCTGCACAAGACCAAGCCTTAAGGACAAATGCATACAAAGTCAAAATTGAGAAGACAGCAACAGACAGTAAGTGCCGCCTATGCAAAGAAGCTGAAGAAACAGTGGACCACTTGGTAAGCTGTTGCAAGAAGATTGCACAAACTGATTACAAGCAGCGGCATGACAAAGTAGCAACAATGGTGCATTGGAAGATCTGCAAAAAATATCATTTGCCTGTAAGAAAAAACTGGTGGGATCATAAAATAGAGAAAGTCATAGAAAATGATAAAATTAAACTGCTCTGGGACTTCAGAATTCAAACAGACAAGCACCTGCAACATAACACCCCAGACTTAACAATTGTCGATAAGAAAGACAAAAAAGTCTGGATAGTGGACGTGGCAGTGCCTGGAGATAGCAGAATAGAAGAGAAAGAACTGGAGAAGATAACAAAATACAAAGACCTACAAATAGAAATAGAAAGACTGTGGCAAAAGCAAGCAAGGGTAGTACCAATAGTAATAGGCTCCTTGGGTGCAATCCCAAAACAACTGGAGCACCACTTGAACACCATTGGCATTGACAAATTCGCTATTAGTCAATTGCAAAAGGCGGCCTTATTAGGAACTGCTTCCATCCTGCGACGATATCTGTAATACCATCAAACATCCACATCTGCCTATCCCAGGTCCTGGGTAAGGACTCGATAGGTAGACAAAATGCCAAATCCAGTCTGAACATCTGGCTGACTGTGCGATGATCGATAATAATAGTAGTAGTAGTAGTAGTAGTAGTAGTAGTAGTAGTAGTAGCAGTAGTAGCAGTAGTAATCTGCTACTGTAATAGTTCTTGGGTCCTTGGTTAGAACTTCAACTGTTAAGTTTTTATGAGTCCCAGAATGTGAATCAAATTGAAGATTAAATCTTAAATAATAATGAAAGCACTGTGGAAATGACTAGAATGGAAGAAGACATTCACATAACAACAGAAATTGTACAAAAAACAAATAAAGAAAGTCAAGAACTGGAGTGTCCCTGGTTTAAATGACCTGCATGGATTCTGGTTAAAATCACTAACAAGTTTGCATACAAGGTTAGTAAACCAGATGAATCAGGTTCTAAAAACATCAGAAAGTAAAAAATGGCTAAAAACCAGAAGAACGTTTTTGATTCAGAAGGATGCAGAAAAGGGAAATAAAACCTGAAAATTACAGGCCAATAACTTGCCTGCCAACAACAAATTACTTATAGGCATTTGCAAACCAAATTTATGGATATTTGGAAAACAAGGATCTGCTGCCTGTAGAACAGAAAAGATGCTACAAAAATTCAAAAGGAACCAAAGACCAATTGATGATTGATAAACTGGTTTTGAAGAATTCAAAAAACAAGACAAACAAATTTGTTCATGGCCTGGATTGATTATAAGAAAGCATTTGATTCTGTTCCACACAGCTGGATTGAGAAAAGCTTAGACATTTTTGGAATTAGCAGCAACATCCAGAAATTCCTGAAGACCTCCATGAAGCTATGGCAAACTAAGTTGATGGCCTGTGGAGAAGAACTTGGTGAAGTTAAAATCAAACGAGGAATCTTCCAAGGTGACTCATTGTCACCTCTGCTATTTGTACTTTTGATGGTGCCACTAACAAGCATTTTGAACAAAACAAACTGTGGCTATGAATTGGCTAAAAAGAGTTGAAAATTTCCCATTTGCTATACATGGATGATTTAAAATTATTTGGAAAAACAAAAGTTGAATTGAGCTCACTGCTAAAAAACACTGAAGAGTTTAGCAGAGATTGAAATGCAATTTGGCATTGACAAATATGCAACAATTGCTGTTAAGGCAGGAAAAATGGTTAAAGATGATGGATTCGAACTTGATAATGAAGAATTGATAAAAGCAGTAACACCAGAAGAAGGGTACAAATACTTAGGAGTTTTGGAAGCTTCTGATCTGTTGCACAACCAACTCAAGGAAGCTACTTCAACAAAATACATAAAGTGAATTCGGAAAATCTTGAGATCAAAACTGAGTGGAGAAAATATCATAAAGGCAATTAACACCTGGGCAGTGCCTATAATACAATACTCAGCTGGAATAATTGATTGGACTCAGCTAGAACTTGGCTCGAAAGACAAGAAAACTAGTGACAATGCACCATGCTCTGCATTCAAAAAGTGATATTGATCAATCGTACTTGCCAAGATCTCAGGGTGGCACAGGACTCTTACAGGTGAAACAAACTGTGGAAGAAGAAAAACATAGCTTAAATGACTACACAAAGAAAGTAAAAGAGCCTTTGCTGAAGGAGGTGAACAAGGGAAACCTCTTGAAAAGAACAAGATTGAAAGCAAAGTATTAAAAGAAAACAATTGAGCATTGAGTTTCTAATTGGAAAAAGAAGCCTATGCATAGTCAATATCTGAAAGACACTGAAGGAAAGGCAGATACAAAGCTAATGAGAGATATACAATAAAATAGTACATATATACATATATACACATATGCATATATTATACACACACACATATATACACACGGTATGTACGTATGTACGTATGTATGTATGTATATATGTATGTTTTCATTTGGAAACTAGGCACCTTCTCCTCTCCTTACCCTCTCCTCTACCTCAGAAAGGATAAAGCTCTCTAACTAAAGAAGTAAAAGAACTGAAACAAAGAATAACTGAGCACTTAGAACAGCAAAAAGAATAAGGCCGCCTGCATTGAAGCTTGTTCCAAAGAAATGCCAAACCCAGTCTGAACATCTGGCTGATTGTGCAATGATGAATAACAATAATAAAAACACCTTACTCAGAGCTGCCTATACATTCAGACATCTTCACAGCTCTAAAATATTTGGTTAGAACTTGAACTATTAAGTTTTTACCAGTCCCAGACTGTGAATTAAATTAAAGATTAAAATCATCATCATCATCATCATCCCTCAGTGAGACATTACCTTGACATGATTCTGGGGTTTGTGTGCTCTGAGGAAGATGAGAGCTATGCCAGAGGTTCAATCATATTGGACAAGACTCACCAGAAGAGTCAGACAAATATTATCTCTCCCATAAAAAATATGGTGAGATGTAAATTTTAGAAAACCTAACTAGCTCAGACATCACCCTGATTAACAAGGTCTGCACTAGATGTTGGAGTTCCTGGATATCTGGTGAAAAATGGGCTACAGGACTCAGAGCTGTTGGCTGAGCAACCAGGACCAGCAGCTACAGAACTACAGGTATTGGAAGAAAAGGTCAGGGACCTGAGAGACACTTTGTCCAGAATGCCACAAGGAAACATTAGTGTGGGCTAAAGGCACAGGAAAGATTAAGGAAAGGAAGTGCATGCTGGGGAAGGAAGAGCAAGTGGCTAAGTTGTGATATTTAACTAGCTCTGACATGGGCACAAAGCAGAGATGCTGACTCAGTTATTAATGCTTTCTTCCACAAAAATCTTTTTTCACTTTTGCAGATGTCAGTCTAGCTTTCATTTGTAGTAGACAACGTAATAAAAATTCAGTCTTGATCACAGAAACTAGCCTGTTAGGAGAGATGTGTGTCTATGTTGGAAAACAGTCTGTCGGCGATGATCAGGCTAACCCTGAGGAAAGGGTCAAATGTATTATCAGTCTCGACTCTCTTTGTACCCACAAGAGATTTAAATCCAGCCCACCTTGAATTCCACTGACACTTATCTACCACCTATCTGCTTTGATTGTTAGTAGTTCAGATTCTTGTAGAGAGCTTAATCATCATCATTATCTACAAATCTTTATATTCATTTGAACTGTCTGGATTTCTTGATTTCTCATACTTAATAGTCATTCTTCTGTGGTTCTGCCTAGCACTTGAAAATGGGAAACAGAAACAGTTCAGTGGAACAAATATTGAAGTAAACAAAATTTCTTTCTAAGTAGAGACATATAGCATTGAACTATTGATACTTTCCCTTGCATTTTCCTAATGCAATATTTCAATTGCTGATTAATAACCAGAGATGTCATATGCCAGCAAGTGCCAAACAGCCATTGACAAGCACCCTCATTCACTTCCCTTACTAGTTTGGATTCAAAGCATCTGAATAGAATCCTACCCTAACTCATATTAAAAAAAACTCTTTTATCTTCATAATCTGACAAATTAGTCATTTTTACATCACCATACTGCATAGTATTATACAGCCCCTCAGTCCATGGCAGGCACCCTAAGTTCTAATTAATGGATACCACCTGTCTAAATACTATTAGCTAATGAGGTTTCTTTCTTTTTTCTCTGTTTTTCATTTCTTTTAAGGTCTACACAGAAATATAATCTTTATTTAAGTCCCACAAATGTTCTCTTCTAGCAAATGAGAGTTTATCACAAAAACTAAAACCAGCATTGTTTTTTTGGTTATCAGGTTACAGTAGCTTAAGTATCTAAGCACTAGTATCTCCATATAGCTGATCAGTTACAGCTGTTAATTGTGGAGAGGGAAGACTTGCTGACATCTGTTTCTTGCCCAGTTACCTAATGGTTCATTTCCAGGTCTTAAAAGGGTAGTACCCTCCATTCAAAGACAATGTCCAACTCTGCCAAGATCTGCCTTCCTTCCTGCTTGCCTTGTGCTGGTTTGTTCATACAATGCAAATTTGAGTGAACTCACATCTGCCACTGATCGACCCAATTCATGAGCAATCTTTTCCCATCGACCAGGCATCCCTCCTGGGAACTTAACCATACTTCTTGTCAGTTGGCTAAGGTCCTCTTCCATCCATTCAGGGACCTGTAAAATATTTGTAAAACATTTATTAATACTAGGCAACTCGAAGGGTTTTTACAGTGATGAAAAACACCAAACATGAGTCTTAAGTAAAGCAGTCCAATAAAATCTGTTAAGCAATAAGAATGTTTTTTACAGCTTTTTAATGGTGCCTACTTGCAGAAGATCCAACTTATCTGATTTATGTAACAGATGTTGTCCACCTGTCTTGAAGACTAAGTCTATCTATTTACAAACAATGAACAGACAATTCTACCTTTTTGTGGGTGTCAATGCACCCTTGTTCACATACAGAAAAAAAATAAAATAAACACTATGTTAAAAATATTTTTCATGGACACATGTTTTAACTTACAAGTACTACAAAAAAAGCACAGAGAATATATTCCTTGGGGAAGTATATTTAGAAATGATGAACCAGGCCCCTTATTTAACAAAATAGATATATTTGTTAAGTTATAAATTGCTCTGGCAGAAAAGGAATTTTGAGAGATTGTGAATAATGTGTTAAAAACAGCCAAGTCTGCATAGCTCCTGAGCGTGGTACACTCATTAGGGATGGTAGAAAACCCACCCATTAACTTCCAGGCACTTGTATAACACACCCAACAATTTCTTCCTTTTTGAATCCTTTCTCCAAGCAAAAGGAACTGTATGGAAAAGCCTTCACAAGCACCCAAAGAGCAATTTTCACTGTCTTTTCCTATCAAAACACCATCTGGATCAGGCTTCCTCTGTACTGATATAGGCAGTGAGCAACAGCTTCCCATTTCTCTTTTATTTCTAAAAGGAGACTTTTATGACAAATATCTCCCCCTAATCACTATTTCTGATAATGAACAGGCAGGCATCAAGCAGTTTGCATTACAGAGCCATCAGTGCTAAACAACAGTCAGAGGTGAATGACCCCTGGGACCATCTCCACAGCTACAGCAAAGCTTCTGCCTGACACTAATCCTGCCTGTCATTCTCCCACTGTGCTCGAACTGCACTGACGTCTGCCTGCTGCACTGCAAGCAGAAACGGGGCCCTCCCTGACTTTTTACTGTCTCCCCCAATCAATGGCTCCAGCGTGCTCTTTTCACTATGTCCAAATGGCAGCTTCACTCATCGTCAGAGGGCCTTGCCCTTGTTTAAAGGGGCTCCCCAAAGGCACTGCCATTTGCATTCATTTGCAAAGCAAACTACTCTTATTCACTTTGTTCAGGGCAATCAGGAATGCTCCCTGAAGCAGAGAAATTGGCATAAATATACAGCCTGCTGGTTAAAAGACAGTAAATAATAGCCAATAATTGGAAGGAGTTTTTTCAGTCATCCTTCTCTTGTGTCCATATGTATCTTTGTCCATCCAAAACCAAAATCAAATCTACTTGGATTATTGTACAATATCAATGATCAAAATAGAATGCAGGAACACAAAGTAGATGAAGACATGCACTATGATAACCTAGCACAGAATGTTCCATTTTCAGCAGAAGAACATGCATACACTCACAAAGTGGCATTGGTTTGGCCTATAAAAAGGAAGAGCTAATTTCCATTAGACAGTAATCATAACCCTCAATGAGGAGATTCTACTAACCAGTTTCCCCAAAGCATCACTTAGAACAAGGGTGTCAAACTCAATTTAATTGAGGGCCATTATCAGCACTGTAGTTGCCCTGGGGGGGGGGAGGCCAGATGGGCATGGCTGGATGGGCACAGCCAACTGGGTGCATGTGGCCAGGTGGGCATAGCTAGCTCAACATTGCTCACATCAGGGGTGCCTTTAAGGGGGTGGGCAGGGATGTAGGTGGTCCAGGGGTCTCCAACGGAGGGGGGTAGGACCAGAGAGGGCCTGGTTCTTTGGAGGAGCTTCACTCATGGGGGCCCTTGGACAGTAGCACAGTCTGCCCGGGCCCTGGGGGGCAGGGCGTGGGTGCCCATCCTGGTCCTCAAGCTCCCAGGATGCCAGGACCAGGCTCAGGCAGAACAGGAAGGGGAATCCTAGCTGCCTCTTGGGGACGAGGGGCTCCTGCCCTTTCTGTTTGCTTCTGAGGTATGGCGCCAGGCAGGAAGCTTATCTTGCATGTAGTGGAACTGGAGAACAAAGATGGACAATGGGGACCAGGTAGGCAGGGGCCATGGCATGGCAGTGATGGTGACTGGCTGGGCTGCCTTGACATGGCCTCGCCATCCGTCTTTGCTTGCCCACACCCCCCACGCCTGCTGTGGCTAGGCTGGTGTGTGTATCTGGCAGGCTGGATCATATGCCTCACTCCGCGCCTCTGCCTCTGCCTGTCACTTGGATGGCTGGCCCTGCAGCTGCGGGGCTTGAACCCAACTGTACGGCATGGGCTGCAGGACCCCAGCTTACACATGTACTGGGCATGAAGTATAAAGCCTAAGACAGAAACCTTCATTATCAAATAGTCTCATGCATTGTGCAGTTGTTTATTTAGCTTTGAGTAAAACATTTAAATAGCATTTAAATAATTTTATGTTTATAAACATTGATGCTTTAGAAATCATAGTTAATACTGATATAAACTTATTTTTATTTCCAAAGGTTTAAGTTATGTAAACATTAGAATGTTAATATCTCTAGTCAATATTGTATAAACATCATTGTAGTGGATTAACACAATGTATTATGTTTTATGATAATACAATAAAATAAATGAGCTGAGGTGGCGCAGCAGTTAGAGTGCAGTACTGCAGGCCACTTTAGCTGACTGTGTTCAGCAGGTCAGCGGTTCAAATCTCACCGGCTCAAGGTTGACTCAGCCTTCCATCCTTCCGGGGTAGGTAAAATGAGGACCCAGATTGTTGGGGGCAATGTAAATATATATATACATTGCTTACTGGTGTACACCGCTTAGAGAGTGCTTGCACTTAAAGCGGTATATAAGTCTCATAAATAAATAAATAAATAAATAAATGATAGAGAAAAAGATTTATTTTTACACCTCTGAGCCACAGGCCAGTTCCTCTTCCTGGCACTTAGGATGTCAGCTGACCGTTCCTCCAAAATGCTGCCTGCCACATTCTTTAAATAATATTTTTGCAAATAGAATTTCCTGCATTACAAGAGAGGTGACACATTAAACTCTAGTGCAGGGGTCCACAATCCCCAGTCCGGGGACCAGTACCGGTGCAGCATGCCAGAAACTGGTCTGCACAAACAAGCAAAGCCCCATCTGTGGGATGCAGGCAGTACATGAAACGACGCCCCCTCTGGTCCGCAGAAAAACCTTTCTCTATGGAACCGGTCCCTAATGCCCAAAAGGTTGGGGACCTCTGCACTAGTGAACAAAGATAGCCCAATTAATATGTTCATTATTTTTTACTTGAAATTCCTTCTTAGCTAAATGATGGTAATTTGTGCTGAAGCAAAGGTAAGTAATTGTTGGAGTTTGTTGACTTTTTTTTCAGATTGTAGGCATATATCGGGACATTTTTTAAAGCATTTGGTTACTGGTTACATTCACAAAGTGGTTGCCATGAGGGTCTTGTGCAAAAAGAAAATGATTATTGTAGCCAAATCTGGCTTCTTTTTTTAGTGCTTACATTGTATCTTTGCCTTTTGAAGAGCAAGTGGGTGAATTTTCAGTAAAGCAAATTTTTAATTTAATATTGGGTTTTATAAAAGATCTTTATTTTCCAATTACGTCTTTCCAGGCATACTACATTCCTATTTAATTATTTTTAGTCAGAATAACATTTGGCAGGCAGTCTGGAGAGAAGTATTCATGAAATAGATAAAATTTGTAATTTTCCTTTGAAACTTTTGAAAGAGTAAAAGAAATGGATGAATATCAACGTAAACTGAAAGCATTAACTTAATATGCTTTCTTTCAATTTGGAATTTATCTTCTATTAAGATAACTATAATGTGCCAAATCATTTTCACACTGAATCTAATAAGCCACTTTAAGAATGATAGAGAATGCAAATATTGTACTCCAGGATTGACTATGCATTTCCATTTTTCTAGAAAAATGCATCTTCCACATTTTCAACATTTCCATAATTGTTACACCTAGAGTTAAATCAAAGGAATTAGACTACAGGCAGCTTTGCAGGATATCTGATGCTTTACATGGACTGCAGACATATAGTCTGGAGAATTTCACACAGATGTGAGAAGTGACTATTTAGAAGCCAAGATAAAATTTAGATGCCAACAGCAGAAAAGGACCCACTATAATTAGAATGCTACTAAAAGCATAGTTGAGCTTTTCTCTCCAAAAGTCAGATTATTCTTAGAAATATCCACAACTGATACTACGGGAAACATTTCAAATATTCTATAGCATCCCTTCTCAAGCAAGAATCCAGAGGTTTCTCTACCAGAATTTTCCCTTCTCAGAAAAGTTTAGATACCTAAAATGCAAAAACCCAAACCATTTTATGTTAGAAATCAGCCCTCTGCAATCCTTGTTTGTTGGTGAAGAGCCACAGCTTTGTTCTCCTTTTTTTAAAGGTTTGCTGAATTTACAGCTCTTAGTTAATTGGGCCTTTAGATGCAGCAGAACCTCCTACAATTCAACTGCTACAATCATCTAGGAGGGTGGCCACAGTGTGAATTTATTTTCCTGCTCCAAAGCCAATACTACGAGAGTTAAATGAATGCATATGTATAAGCCTTTATCACTTCAAACTACATTTGTCCAATATTACCCAAAACCTGGCCAGAACTCATTCTATGGTAAAGTAATAGAAAATGCCACATAGCGAGGGGACAGCTGTTGTATCTACACAAGCATCCAGATTTTACATCAGAAAAGCTGTGCTTTGGGATTAAGTCCCCACATTGAATGCTGTGCAGTCAAAAAGAAAAGCCAGAAACAAGAGGCCCTATTTTTAACACAAAAATTAGAAGGGATTTGTGCAGTTCATAAATATTCGTATAATTTGGTGAATGAACAGAAGGGGGTTACTATATTATATTTCAATAATGCATATCAACTTCTATTAGCTTATTATGTTTATTGCTGTTTTAAGTAAATATTATTATATGT